ATCCTCGCATTTTTCAATTTAAATTTAAATTTTGTGTTTTTTTATCTTTGTTCTTTTCTCTTTCTAACTTCCTCCGAAATTTCATCCATCGTGCAATAGTTTGCGCCTTTCACTTCCCAGTACAAGACTGTTATTGAAAATCAATCTTCAGGTATCTCTTGGCACTACGATTTTATTGTTGGGGATTTTAAGCTGGGCAAGTAGAAGATTTCAACTCCGATATCAATTCATGGCGAATAGAATGGAGTTCATCAATAACTGAAGTTGTAGAAGAAAGATTAGAAATTGAATTTTTGGTTGAATATATGCCTCTTGAGATAGAAATTTGGTTGTACAACGGAGAGTGGTGGCTATTAGATCTCTAGGTTTATGGTTTTTGCAACTGTCATAACCTATTTCTATCTTAAAACGAGGAATCATTGATTGATTGTTTGAATTCTTTATTCAACCTACTGGAACTAATAGATAAGGAGTGTCTAATTTTGCGCCTTATTACTTTGATCGAGTCTATTCGTATATTGGAGATAACCCTAATTTTTTCGTTTGCTCTCAAGTTGTGATGGTCCTCTCTTAGCTGAGTTTTTAGTATATAGATGACTTGAATCAACAACTCTCTATTTCTTTTTGATTAGTGACATATTGTTTCTAAAAAGAGAGCATTGAACCCTTTTATATAGGATTGTGAGGTTTAAGATTTAGTTTCAAACTATCTATGGGTTGTGTGAGAATTTTAGTGAGCTTTTATACTCTATATTTCTTGACTGTCAAAGAAAACTAACCAATAGCATTTTAACAGGGACTTAATTAGCATTATGAAAATGGGCTCAATGATACATTTTTATATTTTATATTCTTAAATGATTATGATATTTCTCCGAATGTTTGACCTATATATTATTTCTTTATGTATCATCTCGATCGAATGATTATCAATAAAATTAAACGGGTTAATAGACTTAAAAATAACATAAAAATACAAACAATCAAATATGAGCATTCCGGCCAAAGGGCGGGTTATAAGCTAGTCCAGTTAAATATTTGTACCGAGGAAAGGTTTGGCAATTGGGAGTGCTTATTGCTTATTATCCACGAGTTGCATCGGCGGCGGAGAGTTTCTTGGCGCCGTTCTCTTTCTCCATTGCGTGAGACTTCACGTTTCTTCTATCGGAATCTTCTTGAGGAGGCAGAACCCTGAGCGCTTGACCTTCCATTGGCAGCAGAATGGGTGATCTCTCGCTCGCACGCACGCTCAAAAGGGGTGGAAACTGAGAAACGCGGGAAAATTGGTTCCTCTGTAAAAGTGTGGCTGTTTTTTCCTTTACCGAGTTCTGTTTGCTGTGTGCGCCAGAGATGGTCTTTATGACCAGCCTGCTCTCTTAGATCGGTGGGTATTCTTTCAATCGGGTTCTCGATATCAATTCACCAGCACAAGCTCTCCGTCCAGGACATATTTCATGCTCAATCTCTCGGTGCATCAGGTATAGTTTGTGAGGGTAAGGTATGCACTCCACCTGCTTGATCTAATGCTTCTACGAAGAACATTCGTATTCCTGAGCGCGACTTTTCCGGAATTTCTTTGCCCTTTGGAATCCCCAGTTGGTTCATTGCAGAAATGTGAAGGACTCTCAAAAAGGATTAAACCGCTTACCTCTCTGATCACCACCTCTTCAATTCCCTACAATAATGCTAACTACCACTCCATCCGCCCTCTAAACCATCTATTGATTTCTTGTTCCTCTCTGTGGCATCTTAAATGCATACATGCTCTGATTCTCACGAGGGGCACTCACTGCAGTCTGCTGCTGTCTACAAAATTAGTTGCCTTGGCTTGCGAGCTATCTCCTACCATGGACTATGCTCAAACCCTATTTGATAGAGTGCATCAAAAGGATGTTTTTATTTGGAATACGTTGATCAGGGGTTATGCCAATATGGGTCCTTGCCAAAAGGCTATCATTCTTTACAGAAGCATGCACCATAGTGGGTTGCTGCCAGACAACTATACTTTCCCTTTTGTGATTAGGTCATGTGCAGTTATATCTGCTGTAAAGGAAGGGGTTGAAGTTCACTGCAATATTGTCAAAAGTGGGTTTGATGTAGATGTGTTTGTACAGAGTTCTTTAGTTTCCATGTATTCCCAGGCTGGGGATATAATCAATATGGAGAAAGTGTTTAGTCTAATGGGTGCTAGAAACATTGTTTCTTGGACAGCAATGGTTGCTGGTTATGTGCAAAATGGGCTTTATGAGCAAGGTATAGGGGTTTTTAAGAAGATGATTTGTTCAAAAGCACAGCCAAATGCAGTCACTTTGGCAAGCATCCTTCCCGCATGTGCTGGCTTGGAATTTTTGAACCTTGGAGAAATGATCCATGCGTATGGAATCAAAGTTGGGGTGGACTCTGATACTTCATTGACAAACTCTTTGATTGCTTTGTATGGGAAATGTGGACATCTTGATACATCCAGAGCATTGTTCGATGGAATGTTTGTGAAAAATCTGGTTTCATGGAATGCAATGATTGCAGCTTACGAGCAGAATAATATAGGAAGACTTGCAATAAAGCTGTTTCGAAGAATGCTGTGTGAGAGGGTCGAATATGATCATATAACTCTGGTTAGTGTTATTTCCGCCTGCTCTAGTTTGGGAGCATTGGGAACTGGGAAATGGTTACATCAGCTAGTCAAGAAGCGAGAGTTGGAGACCAATGTTTCTGTCTCGAATGCCCTCATTGACATGTATGCAAAATGTGGGAGTATAGAACTGGCAGAGGATGTTTTTGAAAAGTTGCCAGGAAAAACAGTTGTGTCTTGGACTTCAATTATTTTGGCTTTGGCATACCACGGACGTGCAACTGATGCTCTCAAATTCTTCTCAACGATGAAAGAAGAGGGTGTTAGACCAAATAGCTTGACATTCACAGCTGTCTTGAGCGCTTGCAGACATGCTGGTTTAGTAGATGAAGGACGGAAGCACTTCGAGAGCATGATTAATGACTACTCCATTGTTCCTCGTATTGAGCAATTTGCTAGCATGGTTGATCTCCATGGAAGAGCAGGCCGTTTGACCGAGGCTTACAGGTTCATTGAGATGATGCCAGTGCAGGCAGATGCAAGTGTTTGGGGAGCATTACTTGGTTCTTGCAGAACTTACGACAATTTTGAACTAGCTGAGCTCGTTGCAGAGAAGTTGTTTAAGTTGGATCCTCAGGATGTAACTTCGTATGTCATGATGTCTCATGTTTATACAAATGCTGGTCGGTCGGAAGATGTTTCAAGGTTGAGAAACCTGATGAGGGAAAGGGAATTGAAAAAGCTGCCTGGTCACAGTGTTGTCGAGGCAAATTGTCGACTTCATAGGTTTCTTGTGGATTCAAAACCTCGACATTCTTGGCCTACAGTGTGATCTAAAATTGTGAATTACCCTCTAGCACAAAAAGGTTGTATTTATATTTCATACATCCAAATTTTTGTCCATTCTTTTTTCATTTACTATGCATTACCTTTAAATGGTTGTTGCTTTTGTAGTCAGTATGATTCTTCAGATTTCGACGACAGCACAATTTCTGTCTTTGCCAGAAGACCCAGGAAGACTACTGTCATGCTCCTTCAGCCACAGTCGTGGATTCTCCATCATTGTTGGATCAGTTATGTCTTTTTCCTTTCCAAAGTATTTGCACTTGCTTCGTGTCACTGTATCTCTCAAAGATAGAAATGTTGATCCATTTATAGGGGTACATTAGTGAAAGTAGCAGAGGGCAACAAGGCGAGGTCATTTTTTTGGATGGAAAGGCCTAGTCCTTGTTTTTTTTCACTACAGACCAAAGTCAAGAGTCAAGACAATGACGTGAATAGTTTATGCAACTGCAGATTCTGTGATCCCTTCTTTAGTCAGTTGGTGTTTATCTGTTGTGGTGATGTATTTTGCCATGTTATCATCTTATTCATTGCTTTTTAATGTCCAACCCTTCTCTATCAGGTGACCGTGATATATGTAGCACATGAACCTCACTTCACCTGGTCAAACACACTTATTAAGTCTAAGAGTCTATAGCATCCAACTTTGTATTTGGAAATTAATTGTTGGACCTCCTCCTTGCCATGATTTTGACAATCCTGCTTCATATTCAAGTTCTTGCGCCGTCTCCCTCTTAGTTTGGTCCAAGGTTATTCTGTTATCCTTTTTAGCCACGGTCCTGTTCTTTTTTCTGAGTAGATGATCGTAGTTGAAGTCAAAATGTCTGCAGTTAGAAGAACTATGTTTGGTCATCTTGTATATGTTTCTTTTCTATCATGAAACTAATATGTGATATAACCTATAATGTTCCCAGGGATAAGCCATTTTGCAACACCTGCAGAACTTCTGACTTGGTACTATATTCCTGCTGACTCTAGTACCCTGCTGCTGAGCGCTGGCTTTCTGTTCGAGTATCATGTAAGGATAGGGTTTTTCTTTCAAATAGTGCTCGTCCTCTCTTAGGCATGCTTCAGGACCAGTGGCCAAATGCAAGGTTCTTCTTTATTTCAGTTGTTCAATTTAAAATGATCTTTCTATGAATCAGATCTTATGTGGGGAAACTCAAGCAACTCTGCATTGGAAAATAATTTTTGTTTAATGCATTCCAGTTTTATAGTGTTCCCCAGTTTCTAGTTGTATTGTTTATTGCTCTTATCCTTTTCTGGAATGAATTTGAACTGTGATTTGGTAATCTGTCACCCCTCATTTCTCTTAGGACTTGGAGGTTCGATCCTTGGCAACTTCAACACAATCTGATAAATTTGGATTTACAACTTCAACACAATCCCTGGCAATTCATTTGCATACAAGCTGGTAAAGAGCAAAAGAAAAGGTTTACCCTTTATTCTAAACCTTAAGTCATTACTGATTACATTCATGTTGTTTATGCTGTGGCTGGTTTCTGTATAGTCAATAAATTCAAACAGCTCAAACATTTATAAAATTACCCTGGATTCCTTTTCTTATGCTTTTTCATTTCTACCTTTGCATTCGTATTCAATGGTGGAAATTTTCAGTTTACAAAGAATGATTTGAGATCCTTAAGTTGATGTTCATGAAACTGCTAGATGTGATCGTGATCTTCTTTGTTTCTTATTCCTTTTGTTTCCATGTACAATCTTTCTTACTCCAGACTTTCATGACAGACCATCTGCTATCCTGATCCTGTGACTGATGAACTAGTGCTTTTCAGCAGCTGAGTCTATTGTTATGCTTGACCTATATCATTGTTCCTTACATTTCTACTCTCTAAATTTTCTAACTCTTAGTGTGTGTCTGCTTCGCTTTCGTCAAACAGGGGTGAAACTGAGACTGAAGATGGGATGGTGGCATGGCCTGTCAATTGAGGAATCAACTACAGATTCACTTTATGGTAAATAGTTTTGCTTTGTAGGTTTAATGTGTATTTATGGAGGATATATATCTAAAGTATAAGCTTCAAAGATTGGATAGGGCTTATCACCTCTGCATAGGAGTATGCCCCTGACATAACTGTAGCACATACGCACACCTCTTGTTATTATGTGTCTGCATTTTGGACTTCGCTGGCAGATGTTTGTAGAAAAGCCAGAAAGGTCGTAGCAATTTTTCGTCAAGTGATGTTGTCAAATTTCATATATCGGTACAGATAATGAGAGTGACCATCCAATTTCCTTTGACAGACCTGTCAATGATGATAATATTTCTTCTCAAAGCTCACCTGTGAGGAACTCTCTGTTGATATGGCACTTGTGTACCATTTAGTAGTTAGGAAATTGTGTGTCTAGTGAGTTATCTGGTAACGGAGGACCTGGAATAGTATAAAGCTTTAACAATCAGAGACTATCTGTTTGGTTCCAAGTATAAGATTTTTCCCCTGTGATTTCACTTCAGAATCTAATGGCTGCTCTCTCTCTCCTTCCGCTATCCTTGCCTATGATCCATCCGCAGGAAAGACTGCACCTGGTTTTGGCTTTGGAGGACTAGAAGTATATATATATTATTTGGATGCGGATGTTTATACAACAGGTTAGTATCTCATGATTCTGACAGCATCATTTCTTGTTTGGTGAGATGATAAAAAGAAGCTGCATCCTGAATTGGACATGGTCAATGCATCTGTTCCTGTTTTCCGCCTCATAATCCCGAATTCTAGTCCAACCCCAAATGGTTAGACTTGTGTAGTTGGTGAATGAAAAACATTTAATCTGCCCTTGCTTTACACCTTAGGGTAAAAAACGGTTGTTGGCCTCAAGGTTCAAACTGAGAGTGTGGTGGATGTTATCAAGACTTTAGGGTCATTTACTTACAAGCGATGTGCATCAATTTCCTAGACTTTAAGTGAGCTAGGAGATTTGGACAACATGTTTCCCTGCTCTATCGTTTACTTAATTGTGATAAGTTTGGAGCGTAATTTGTATTTCCTTGGGATCTTGAGTTGCTCCTTCGTAATTAACAGGGTGAAAGTATCATGAAGCATTTTACAACTATATGACTTGTTTTCTATTTGCTTGTTTCAATTGCTATCTTCATAATTCAGACTCGAGTCCCTGAAAGGACTCTAATCATGCAGATGCAAAAGGCCCAAATTCTGATGTTTGTGATTCTGTTCTGCGTCATCTTATGACTTTGAAGATACTTCCGTTGAAGAAGAAGATTCCTCGAATTCGTTCACAGATCATAGCTTGTGATGATCAAATGAAAGGTCAGTGGTACCTAAAGGACCTTTGTTATGCATGATCAGAAGAAACTGCCTGTGATTTGGGAAGGAAAACCTTGTCATAATCGTGGCAAAATATTAGGGGAGAAGGCTGTAAAAAGAAGCACGTCTAGCTTAACCAAACCAGAAGTCAACGTCCAGTCCAATCTTTGAGAAGTTACCTATCTTAAAGATGTTGCTGCGTTTTTCAATTTGATTGATCGGCTTGTATGAGATTCTCAGGTTCAACTCTTTAAACACTTACGTACTTTGGATGAGCTGCCTCGAGCATCAAAACCCTTCAAATGGATTGGATCCAATGGGTTAGTGATAGAACTCAAGGTGAGCTCTACCTGCGAATTAGGGATTAGGATCAACTAGGGCTTGATCCGGGGGAATTGGAAGATGGGGAGGGAAATTGGGACAGCACAGGGGAGGGGAAGGCTGCTGCCGCCAGCAGCAATGAGAAGGGAGGGGAGAGTTGGCTGTCTCACAGCCGAAGAAGAGAGAGGGGAAGTGGGGTCGGCCAAATGGAGAGGGAGGGAGAGGAAGATTAGAAACTTTAGGCTTTTGATTAATTCTTTCTTAACCTTAATCCTAACTTACAAGTAGTTTATATAGAAAAGGCTAATTCCCTACTACTACCCAATCTATCAATTATTCCCGAATAGTCCCTATAATCCGAATAATAATAAACCGACAAATAATCAAAGTACTAAAATGTAAGTTTCTATCAGTTAGTGGATTCATGGATTGTATCAAGTGGATTGGTGCATTATCGATAAATCCAAATGACATCCTCAAGTTTGGATCAATATGTAATATGTGAAAAGTTTAAGTACTAAAATGTCATAATGAAAAAATTTAGGTACCACAACGTAATTTTTCAATGATATTTTCGTATAAAAAATTAATTTTTGGGTACCAAAATGTAAAATATAAAAAGTATAGTTACCAAATCGTAATTTGCCATTTGGATCATGAATTCACCAATCCAATTGGATTTGGATCAAATTGATTGGATTTAAATGGATTGGACTAGGTGGATATTTTTAATGAATTGGTGGATTGGATTGAAAATTGTCACCTCTACTTGCTATGTTTGCAGCAGAATCCTTATTCTTGAGAGGAATAAATGGGTTAAACTTCACAACTACGGGGACTAGAGGAACTAATTGATTAATTGGGTAGCCTACATTACCACTTGCGCAACCGTGTTAACACTTCTTTAACTTGACTGATCTTTTATTCTCTCAACAATTATTTATCCATATTAAAAAATCCTCTCAAATTAAGTGATCTATCAGTGTGTTGTCGATGTTCGCTCGCAGACTTGCAGAAGCGGCGATCGTTGGAGAAGAGTTGCATTTTGAAGAAGAGACGACAATGACTTTATGAGGATGGTGATGGCTAGATAGAACGACGGCAGACTTGGGCGGAAGATGTAGGATCGGTTCATGTTGTCGAAGTAAATGGGTGGTTTTTTTCTCCGTACAATTAATTCAGGTGGAAAATTTTTTATGGTGTAAATAAACACTGATGTGTTAAGGTAAACATACTATCTTCCTGTCACATCACAACATCTTGTCTCATCACTTCCCCTTAGTCAGATCGACACTATACATGCCTGGATAGAGAAACTTTTTGATTTCTGTGATTATTTTTTAACAAGAGTTATTGAATATAAAAAACTCATTACGCGAAATCTTAACTTTTTATAATGAGCTGAAGGGATAAGTATTGTTGGCGCAGAGGAAGCAATAAATTGATGTCTATCAGGACGACTGCTACGAGCTTCCGGAGTGCAATGGGATCTTCATGGAGTTGATCATTATGAGTCTTACGACGAATTTTATTGGGAAGTTCCGTAGCGAAAAGGAGATTCACTAGCTCATTATTTAGTCCAGATTGATGAAAATGACGGAATCCATAAAAATTATTTTTGTATTGGTGCAACGTATTAAAATTTTTGGTCATTTTATAGTATTTCAGATAATTTTTTACTATTTCATTCCACGACTTCAACCGTTTGGCTTATTTTTGGTATTTATCCTAATTTTTAGACACTATCCATATCATGCAGTCAACATAAAAAATGTGATTTATTCATTAAAAATAATAATCCGGTTTTTATGATCGGTATTACAACTCGATATATTATTTGGAAGTGTTTGTAATATACTAACCGTATCTACATTTTACACAAACAACGGAACAAAACGGTTGACTGCCTCCCTCTCCAAATTTGGCGGGTAAATGCTCACCAACCCCGCGGCCAACCACCACTACTCTGTTCCAGAACCAATGCTCTCTCCACACGTCGCCCATCTTCTCAATCGGCAAACCTTTCGTCTCCGGCAACAACAGATACACGAACACCGTCATCACCACCACCCACCCGCCAAAGAAGAAGAAAATCCCGGCCTTCAAATGGCACAGCATCGACAAAAACGTCTGCGCCACCACAAAAGTAAACAGAAAGCTCACCGCCACCACAATGCTCTGCCCCGCCGACCGAATCTCCAGGGGGAAAATCTCGCTGGGAACCAACCACCCCAACGGCCCCCACGACACCCCAAACCCGGCGACGTAGAAACCTATCAGCACTATCACCGCCACCGCGTACCCCTTCCCGATCCCGCCGTGGTCCCCTAGCTCCGCCGCCATAATCGCTCCCACCAGCACCTGCGACACGAGCATCAGCACCCCGCCGACCAAAAACAGAGGCCTCCTCCCGACTCGATCGACGATCACCATCGACAAGAACGTCGTCGCGATCCCGACGGCGCCGGTGAGGATCGCCGACATCAGAGAGGCGCTCTCCCCCATCCCGATCGTCCGGAAGAGCAGGGGAGCGTAGAAGGCGATGACGTTGATTCCGGTGACCTGCTGGAAGAACGGAATCGCCACCGCCATCACCAGCTGAGGCCGGTAATTGACTTCCAGAATCTTCCTGAACGGGTTGTGATCAATTGATTTCGAGAGCTCGCTCGCTTCGATTAGATCCGCTAGCTCCGATTGGACCTCCGAAGTTCCCCTGACTCTCTGTAGCAGCCTCCTTGCTCTGTCTTTGTCGTTTGTGAGCTGAATTAGACTGCTGGGGGTTTCCGGGAGGAAAATCGCTCCGACGGTGAGAATCGCCGCGGGAACCGCCGCCATCGACAGCGAGATCCGCCATCCGTACCCGGATCTGATCTTCTCGGTGCCGAAATTGATGAGATTCGCGGCGAGTACTCCGATCCCGACGCTGAGCTGGAATCCATTGTTGATTGCTCCCCTGTACCTCGGCGGCGCCATCTCTGAGAGGTAGAGAGGGACGGCCTGGTTGGCGAATCCGACGCCGACGCCGAGGAGGACGCGGCCGAAGATGAGCATGTAGATGTTGGAGGCGGCGCCGCCGAGGGCGGCACCGGCGAGGAAGGCGCCGCCGCCGAGGAGGATGGAAGGCTTCCGGCCTCGGGATTTGGTGAGCCAGGAGGCGAAGAAGGAGGCGACGAGGCCGGCGACGTAGAGGGAGGAAGTGAAGGAGGTGAGGAGCTGGCTGTCGAATTTGCAGTAGTTGCTGACCTCGGTGTCCTGTTTCATCTTGGTGTAGACTTGGTGGAAGAATTTTTTGAGGAAGGGCTCCATGGAAGTGACTCCGCCTGAGATTCCGATGTCGTAGCCGAAGATGACGCCTCCCATGGCGGCCATCATGCAGGAGAGTGCGACGAAGGGGGTGATCTTGCCGTTGTACTCCCTCCTGCTGCTGCTGCTGCTGGTTAATCCTCCTTCGGTGGCCATGGATGATGAGCCAACCGCCATGGTTGAGCTTGATCGATCTTGACTGTTGGCTGTTTTGGTGCGGTACAGGCAGCACTATACATATACTTTTATCGGCTGCTTGCAGTAGCAGTCTAGTAGATTACTTGGTTGAATTGTATGTCAAGAATCATTTAATCCAACAATCGTAACTTGAATTATTGAAAGAGATTTAATATAGATACATACCATTTACTAACAATCTATTTGGCTGTCAATAAGGATCACTGACTTGGAACGAGGTGAGCCAGGAGAATCTGTTTTTGGTTGTTGCAGCTGGCTGCTGTGTTAAAGAACAATATTTTTTTTTATCCATGATGGACCAATCTGTGCCCGGGTGTTTTGCTGTGTGTCGTTTGTACCTTTCCTAATCTCTAATTAATAACATGAAGTCACCATTGTTAAATAGTAAGTTGGGACATAGATCATCTTATTTTATCCATAATTAGTGTAATTTTCGTTAAGTATTCATTTTGGGTAAAATGCAAGTTTGGTCACTAAGATAATTAAAAAAAATTCACGTTGCCTCTAATTTTTTTTTATTCCATTCCTGGTCACTAAGATTAGTTTAATCGTTCAAGTTTGGTCACTCCCCGTTAACTTTTGTTGATGTGGCAGTCCACTCATATAGTTGATAGTTAAATGAGCGACGTGATAATTAAAAAATTAATAAAATTTAATTGAATATCCGCTTCTTGCTTTTGTTTTTATTAATGAATTTTATTATTAGGCGGGATGGGTGAGGTGGAAATGGTAGATTAAATTTTAATTTTTTAATTGCCATGTCACTCATTTAACAGTCAACTATAATAGTTAACTGCCACATCAGCAAAAGTTAACGAACTAAGGAAAAGTAGCGAAACTTGAACCGTTGAACTAATTTTAGTGACCGTCCAATTTTAGGTTGCCGATGTCGGAGGAGATTGGGAAGGAGGATAGGTTTGGTTTCGGAGAAGAAGGGGATAAATTGGGGTATTTATTTATTTTTGTTTATTATTATTATTATTATTAGAAAAGAAAATTAATACAGAAACAAAAAATTAAATTTTTTTATTCCATGCTCGCTGACGTGGCAAGTGAGCTAGTCATTGACTAACGGTCAACGGAGTTGACCGTCCAATTTGACGGTCAAACCCGTCTCCAGGCCAAGTTAAGAAGTATGGTACATAGTTCAGACTAGGATAGCAATTTCGGAAACCACGGGCCAAAGTAGAAAGTTTGTGTATAGTTCGGGCCAAACTAAGGTATGAACCCTTTTATTTATAGATCAAAATAGTATAATTTTTTAGAGATCAGGGTATGTGGGTACACAAGTGGGAATTGAGGAATATGAGCATATGTATGGCCCGAGGCAATTGGAGGAGAGAGGTGGAAGGGAGTGGGGTCCCACTTGGATAAATTAAAGTTGTTATATTTAAGTACGTACTTGTTTAATTTGGGTAGATTTAGAATTCAATACCTCATTCATATGGAATTTAATTTTCCTAGTATTATGAAATACACAAATAAATTAGACTATGTTGGTCATAAATTATTGAAAATCCCCAATTTTATACTCCTTATTCTAAAAAATTCTATTTCTATTAAATATATGTGCACAAAAACCTCCAGCTATATCTCAAAGGGTCTTAGTTCAACAATTTTTTCCTATCAATATACAATTTCTTTGTCATCAAATGTGTTTTATAAAACCATTGTGTGTATTAGATTTTGCTTGAGAACTATTTAATTTAGCTAGTTGTTGAAATGACACTTTTCAATTATGAGTTATAGAAAATGTAAGGTTCAAATCTAATAACTAATGATTTGATAAATGACTACTTGACTGAATATTTTTAAGAAAATTTACTTGATAACTTAATACAATGTTATAATTTTTTTCGTAAATGAGATCTCACTAAACTCGAATCCTGGCTACGCCACTGCCCGATGCCAAAGGTTACATAGTCCAACTGGTGTGAATGTGGAGAAAAATGACGATTTGGAAGGGGCAGTTCTCAGGTTCGATCCTCCAAGCCATCAGGTGAGTGTTTCGGAGGCACAATGAGATCTTAGTGGTAGGCCTTCGCAAAGCAAGGTAAGCTCAAGCAGGTCAACTCCAAATTTGGTAGACTCTGCTCTCACAAAGTAACACGTTAGATTGAGGTTTCTGAATTATATAAAAAAAAAAAGATGATATGGGGCCGAGGTGGAAAGGATAGCGGGGAAATGAGTTGTGCTTTGTGGTTAGTAAATTTTGTTTAATTTATTCTTTTCTAGTTTTGTTGGATCTAAGTGATAAAAAAGTATCATAGCAAGCGGGTGTGAATGTGACCGTGAGCAAATGTTTATGGGTGGAGCCGTGGAGGGGACCAGAAGAAGAGATTGTGGTAGGTTTGGTAATGGATTGGACTGGGAAAGTTGAACAGAGACGAATTGACAGGAAAGACTAGATTTTCAATTACTAATGTTTGAAAAAATGGTTTACCTAGCTAGATAAGATGAGAGGGACAAATATTAACTGTCACAACTCCATGTAAACTCACTTACTTTAATGATTTAAATGATATTAAATCGTTTAAAAATTAATTATGAATTTGTGCATTATCAACACGAATATAATAAATAGAATATACACATAATTACACATTACATTTCTCTAAAACAAATATGAGTGTTAAAGGTGTATGAAAAAAAAAACTAACTCGATCCCGGTGACTCTCGTGGCCCTCTCCTCTTCCTCGTCCACATCACCAACCTCTGTCGTCGACCGAGTGGTCGTAGCTGTACAGCCCACCATCAACCAGCCTCGACGAGCTCCTCTGGGCGCAACATCAAATGCAAGTCTCAGGTTACCCTCTTATCAAATTTCAATATATTCCTGTGTTCTATGTTCAATTGATCAATTAGTTTTCTACATCTATCTGAAATCGGTGTTCCCTTGATTTCTTTATTAACACTCTGTTTGGGAAGATGGGTAAATGGGAGGAGGGTACAAA